GTGTGATTTATTCATCACTGCTTAAGAACAGTAAATGGTAACATGTTCACTTGCCTTTCTAGACACAAGGACCCTTCTTCCATACCCATAGCAAAATTATGCACAACCACTGAGTCCTTTCCCTCTCAGCTTTGCTTTCCTAGAACACATTCCAAGACAACATGTGGCTCCACACCACAAAGAGATAAAACAGATCTTTCATCACTGAAGGGTAGCAGAGATGTATATTTCTAAAGTCTGGCTCAGATCCCTGGCTGAAGTCAACAAATGACTTAAATCACTTGAGGATCCAGCTACTTCAGTGAGATTACTGAGTGACTTCAGTGCACTAAAAATCTGCTACACTCCAGGGCCGAGCGAGCCAGCTGGGCTCCATAGCTTGCACAGGCTGCACCATCTCTATCGAGTTCTGTCTGTCACTACCTCTTTCCCCCTTCTCTTCTCTCTCTTCAGAGGCCAGCTCCTGCACTCCTGCTGCTCCTCTGGCTTCTGTTTGGTTGCACCGCTGGTACACACTTTGAAGCCAGGATGGGAGGAATACACTCACATTCAAAATCTCCCCTCTCCCCATTTCACAGCATGGAAGCTAATTCTTTCTAAAGGAACATCCCCTCTTTGCTGACCCCTAGTACAGCTACTCCAGTCATTCTGGCCTTACACCTTCTCCAAGGAATTGGCTTGCTTTCTCCCCGAGTCTCCATTCCCAGGTTAAATAAGTACACAATCAGCCTTGATCAAACAAAAGCCGACATTTGGTGACTTCCCTGAGTGATTGAGGAGCTGAGACAAAGACAGCTTCTTGCACTACTTAACAAGAAGTCAGTCTGTTAGAATCAGCTTTGCAGAGGATTGCAGTGCAAAGCTTACTCTTTTTTGGCTAGGGAGGAGTAAGAGTACCTGTATACAGAAATAGCTTCAATAATGACTAACACTTGAAAGGCTAAAAGAACCTGACCAGATCAACTCAGTGCAGTAGTCCCCCACTTCCCTAACAAACATAAATAAAATTCTGACAGGGATTCCCCAAGCAGCTTCGTGAAGGGGGAAGGAGGAGAAAAGCTCATACATCTTGGATCATTTAGTGACTTTAAAGCAGTCTCTTTCCTTATCAGTCATCACCTCTGCCAATTTACCAGGCTTGGAAGCTACCTACCATGCATTGCTATTTAAAAGTGCAGTATTTTGCAACAGGAAGAACAGAAATCAGCCAAAACCTGTAATAGGTCAAAACTGATAAAAACCACTTGAACTTATCAGCTGGCACAGGACCGGGAAAGTGATTATGCTATTGGGCAACTGTCACAGATGAACAAGTTTTCAGAGGTAATTTGGGATTAGCCTTTAGATGCCTGAATCAGAAAGTCAGAAAGACAATTTGAAAACTGCTTTTAAGAAGATGTGTATGAAAAGCCAAAGATGGATGTTAAGAGATGGAGAAATGCCAGATTGCTAATCATAATAAAGAAAACAAAAGACCACCACCCAAAAGTGAGAGCACATTCTACATTCCTCTAGTGTTGCACTGGAGGAAGTTGTTGAGAAAATAAAAAATTAATTTCTGTATGGAACTAATTTAGCATCAAATATGGAAAAATAATTTATAGCTGTCTATAGCTTTACAATATTATGTATCTACATTAATTTTGGCAGAAGAGGTAATTTTAATCCTTTGGGAAGTATTATCCTCTTGATATGAGCACATAACTCAGATTAATAGGATTTGCATATGTATAATAATAGAGAGAATAACCCTGGGTTTGGAAAACAAGTGGGTATTTTAATCAGTTTGGGAACACCAGACAAAAAACCATACCAGGCACAACTAATCGAACAGCATTTGTCAACTCATGCTAGGTAATAATTCTGAGTTAATTGATCAATATTTAGAAGCAAACATTATAAACTAGTATGTTTTGGAAAATCAAACAAAGCAGAGCTGTTAATATAATTGAAAGACAAGGGGAGATGGAAGCTGCACTGTTAATCACTTGCAAATTGTGTTTTTTAAACACCCAAACCAAATACATGCTACAACCAAACTGTATAATTGACTCTGTTTGCAATCTCAGTTGCTCAACAATACAGATAACAGCAGTAATGGTATAATTATAACTCACAGCTGAAGTAGATAAAAACCTGTTAGTTCTTAACTAATGGTTGCAATTAATGGTGCAGAAGAGCAGTATTCACTGTATCTGGTTATGGTTCTTTAATAAAAGTGGATTTGAAGTTCCAAGATGCAAAGCAGATCTTGCTTGCTGCAGCCAAACTTTGACCATGTCCTGACAGAAGACAATGACTGGGGAATGCAGCTTGACTCATAACAGCTGTAGGAAAAATAGCTCTGTAAGCAGAGGTTGAGCAGCAAATGCAGATATGGAATGCACTAAACGGAAAGCAAGCAATAAGCACACAAGGAAGAGGTTCCTTCTTGAGCCCCGAGCATCACTTTAGCATCAACTGCATCCGTGGGTTGAAGAAACAGCTTTACTTCCTTCCTACCACCTTCCCCCTGCACAGGAAAAGATACACACACCCCTGTGCACACACACGCGCTGCCAGCCCACGGACAGACAGGGAGAACAAGGCAAGGCAGGACAGGCGCCCTCCACCCCCGGCGGAGCGGCTTCAGCACCGGGGGCGGCGGACAGCGCCCTGGGCTCCCGGGCAGGAGGTCGGGCCCCTCCGCCTGAAGGGCACTGGGACACCAAGGGCGACCCGGTACCCTCTGTGGCACAGCGGCAGGGACACCAGCAACGGGACTGCAAATGGAAACCAGGCTGGCTTATAAACACGATGTTTTCGCCCCCATCCCTACACACAGAGGCAAAAAAGTAACGGCAAGAACACTGCACCTCACAAACAGTAAGTTTCAAAAGGAAAGCCTGAGCTGCGTGACATTATCAAGCATGAGCAAAAGTGGCCAAACACATTTTTTAGTGGCTTTTCCCTCAGATTAGAGAGTTCTCATACCCAGGCAGCTTGGTTTGTGCTTTCCGAGCAAACAGAAGAGTAAACCCAACAGCTCAGAAATGAAGTGGGTATCAGCGGCATGTTTCACTTGCTTTTTGGCTCACTCACTCAATACTGGTTGCTAAGCAATTTTATTTTTTTACTACTCACAGCCAGATGGATTAATGAAAACACACACTTGCACTACTTACAACATTTTTCATTTATATTTCTTGATACACCAGTACTGTTTCTTTTAATTATTTCTTTTTTAAGGAATTCCATTCCCAGGTTTGCAAGTAAAGACCCAAATTATAGAGAGCCAGGGGGAGGGGAGGAACAGAAAGAAGCTAAGTGTAATTACCAAATTCTTTGGTGGATTGCAGGAAAGAGGTACCTCAAGACTTGCACATCCTCTGGGACTTGTAGCAAAGACAGCATGTCTAGCTCAGCATAGAGATGTGAGGCACCAGGTGACCTGAAGGTGCCTTGCTCTTAGCTGGTTTATCTATTTATAACTACATGTCATAACATTACCTGAGAGAACACAAGTCAGCACAGTGTTATTTCAGCAGTCAAATAACCATACGCAGCCTTTTTTTATTTACACCTTACACACAGCGATGCTCTTTCTGTTTTGACTTCCAGTTCTTTATAGAGCTTAAACCTGGCACTTGGCATGGTCTTCCAGCCTGTGCCCTGGAATGCCATCCAACTTACCCATGGTTTGGCAATTTTTTAGAAGTCATGATCAGAGAGAAATAATGACACCCCATACAATGTAACCAACTGTTCTGCCAGTGGTAAAACCAAACTGCGCATCAGCCATTACCAAGGGTGTAATTGCAGCAGGGAAAACAGGAGGGGGGAGGGGAATCTGTTCCATCCCCAAATGGAGAAGAAAATGCATCTCTGCCATCTCAAACTTTCTGCCAGCTGAAAAGGGGGAGGAGGGATGGGAGAGACTGCAGCAGGGCAAGCAGCAACTCCAAGGCAGCTCTTTTCCCTTTACAGCTGGCAGTGAGCTCACAGGCTCAGCATCAAAGAATGTTACACAGTTGGGTCATTTTGTGTGCTACTGCTGGGACATGAGGGAGGCTGCATCACTGCTGGCTACAGATCCTCCCTCATGCTGTCCTCCTTCCCAAATAGAGGAAATCTGGTTTGGTGCAGAGAACCAGCAGAAAGAACTTTCTTTTCTTTTGTTTTTGAGAGCAGTTAACCTCTGGTGTAGTTAGGTGGCTGTTGATAGAGCTCATAAGGAAAGGTCAAGTAAGGAGGGAAAACCACAGGCCTAGTAGGAAAGAAACAGGATAGTTTCATCATGTGCAGGACGAACTGAAGGGGACAGCTTCAATCTCAAGGGAGTAATGAAGAAGAGGTGGCAAAGAGGAAGGCACAGTACTGGAGAAAGGGAAAGGAAAGGTCAGGTAGAGAACTGCAGGAGGTTCATCCCAATAACAGGCAGGAGGAAGTGAATGCAGGGAGCTGGAGGTGTGTTGATAGAAACCATCAGGCTGTAAACCCATCAAGAGTCCCAAAAGGCAGTGCTGAGACAACTGGGGACCTCATGAAACTAAGTGGACAACGCAGGTGCAAGTTTCCTTGCACTTCTGAGGCACAAACCCATCAGGGGAAGAAGGCAAAGAGCGAGACAGGGAGAGACTTGCAAAACACCAAGGGCAGCATTTCCAGGAGGGATGCCAGCACCTGGCGAGGAGGGACAGTGCGGAAGCCTTGAGGGGATGCGCCACGACGCTGTGCAGGGCGAGAGGGCGGCGCTCTGGGAGAGGGGAAGCTTCGAGGGGCTGAACCGAGAAGGGCAGCCGGCCCCGGCCCGCCCAGGTGAGAGACGAGGGGCAGGGGGAGCCGGTCTGCGGGCCAGGGCCAGGGCAGGCCGGCGAGGTGCGAAGGCGCGGGCACCGGGGCAGGGCCGGGCGGCGGCGCCCGGGGAGCCCGGGGGCGCAGGCAGGGGCGGAGGGCGGGGGCGGCCCCTTCCCTCCCTGCTCCCCCCGTCGCCGGTCGCGCCGGGCCGGGCCGCCTCTCACCTGTGTCGAGGTTTAAGGAGATGCGGGCCTCGGCGAGGTAGGGGGTGTCGCTCTTGGAGCGGACGCGGCGGATGGGTCTGCGGTCGATGTCCTCCTCGGAAGATGCCGCCATTAATGTGGGCACGGTGAGCAGCGTGGCCCGGCGAGCTGGCGAGGGCGAGCGGCGGCGCGGGGCGGCCGGGCGAGGAGGGGGCGGAGGGGGAGAGAGGGGAAGGGAGGAGGGAGAGAGGCGCGGGAGGGGGAGGGGAGGACGGGGAAGGAGAGAGGGAAAGGGAGAAAGGAGCGCAGGGAGGGAGGGGGAGAGACAGGGAAAACCCGTCAAGGATCTGCGGACGGGAGCGGCCGCGGCGGCCCTGCCCGCTGCCCCTGCCGAGTCCCGCCCGCCTCCGCTGCGGGGGACGGAGCGGTGTCCCCGGCCCCGGCGCTGCCGGCCCCCGCCCCGGGCAGGGTCCGGCCGAGCGCCTTTCCCGCCCCCAGGGGAGGTCCCGGCTGAGGTGCCGAACGCCGCCGGTGGGCCTGGCAGGCAGAGGTGCCACCCCGCAGCCAGCCCGGCGCCCCGAATGCTCCCTCCTAGCCCAGGGCGTCCGGAACTCACAGCACAGCTGCAGCGGCACTTGGTGGGATGTCTAACGGTGCATGCCTTCACCTCCTTGCCCTCCTTCCTTGGGCAAGCCCATTGCGTAAAGCGGGACGGTGTGCCATACCTTGACAGTTTAAAATGCCAAGGGGACTGAGGAGCCTGCACTCAACGTTTGAAACTGACCATCGCTCAAAGCCCGGGGCTCGCCTTCCTAAGTCGCTTCGGCAGGTCTTTGAGAAAAATGTGACCATCTGCAACAACCAGAGACTTCGTTCTCCGGCTGCAGACTGGGCTTGGTGTTTTGTGGAATCTCTGTTTCTCTGTTTAGTAATCAGCTCTTTATGTGGACATTCTTACCCTGTGGTTTTTAGGCTGCCTGCCACATTAGGGCTCTAATTTTGTTTAGTTAGTGCAATAGAAACAATTAAAAATGCTATTTTAAAAAAAAGTGTGTAGCAAAAAAGTACTGCTGTACTAAAAGTAAAGTAAGAGTTAGACAGTTAAAATATGTACCTAAGAGTGTACTAGCTTATGTAATTTAATTCAGGGCTTTTTAGAAAAAATACCAAAACCCACTCTGCTTAAAGTCACTAAGATGTCAGTACTTCCAAAGTCTTTTGTGTTGGTCAACTTCAATGGAAAAAAAAAAAAAAAAAAAAAAAAAGACCAGGGAAGGAATGTTGGATCTCACTAACTCTGAAGGCAGTGATAATAACATTAGCTGGTCTGAATTTTGAAGGACAGCTCTCTTATTCATTCCTGCAGAGTCAAGGACTTTCTGTTACATGTTTGCCAATTAGTCCTATTGAGGTTTTGGGTTGTGCTGCGTGTTCTTCAATGGCTGTAACACTGGGTTTAGCTCAAGTCTGCTGTTAGCTGTAATCCCTTCATAAATGTTCTCAAGAACTTTCATGTTTCTGGATGCCTGGAATACATAAGATATATTTTGTTTGCAAATCACTTCTATTTTGGTGTGATCTCACTAGCTCACCCTGGCTAAAACAGAAAAAAAAGTTTTAGTTAGCACTTGCAGGAGAATTTTGAAAACGATCCCCGTTCATACATATGCAGGTGCTTGTAGTTAGACAGCCTTGGCATCTTTGGATGTCTGGTGAACCACCACATCGCTTGTGAATGAGGAGGTACCATCTGGTCCATCTCCATCTCAAAAAGAGGGCTTTAATTACCATCATATGCTGTTTAGGGAAGGTGTGGTCTTACCATTATCAAGGTTGAAGCAGATCCGAGCTTCTTCCAAGTAAGGGGTGTCACTCTTAGACCGGAGCCTTCTGATGGGTCTCCGGTCTATGTCATCCTCAGAAGTTGCTGTCACCAGAGTGGGCACAGTGAGAAGAGTTGCCCGACGAGCTGGTAAGAAGGAATAAATGAAGATGAGAATAGGAGGAGAACGGAGAAATAGAAAAGGGGGAAAGAGATAGAAAAAGAATAATAATAATAATAATAAAAAATACTAGAAAAGAAAAGAGAAAGAAAATCACTCAATAGAAGAGATGATCTGTAGCAGAACATGCGGTTTGCTGTAAGGTCACTGCCTTATATTCTACATGCTGCAGAATTTAAGGGCTGGACTGAATGTTACCAAGAAAAGATTGCTGTCTTTTGTGCCCCAAAGACACAGGTTATAGCTCTGTTGCTGCCGCAGATTGCTTGTTCTAAGTTCCTATTTTCTCCACTAAATCCTTTTCTCAACTTCTAAATAGCTTAATAGCTGCAGTCTCTCTTTTCCTGAATGCAGTTTCCAAGGCTGTGAGAAGTAGAAAAATTTAAGTGGTCGATTAATTTGCAGATATCAGTGGAACACATGATGTGATTATTATTCTTGACAAGATGCAAACTATTCTAAAACTCAGTTTCTTGTCTTATCTTGAGCATTTAAAATTAACAGCTACTTTTTTTTGCTCTTGATCACTTTATGTGTTAGTTGTGGAGCAGGGAGAAACATAATTTTCATTCGGTAGGAATTTTGTGAACATATAAATCCATTAATATTGTAAAGTATTCATATACTTTAGTGAAGCACCAATAAAAAACCCATGAGGAAAGTATCTTCTGAACAGGATTTACATGGCTTGGGGCCATGCATTCAAGAAGGAGAAAGCAAAATATTTAATACTGGCTCATTAAGTGAGCACTGCCCACTCCATGCACAGATGAAGGAAATGGTAGGATAGTAAAAAATTGCTGTCATCATGCAATTAGAAACCCTACTATAATCCATATATATAAGGAGACAATTAAAGTTGAAGAGGCAGCCTTCATTTGGGCATTACCTAGGTATTTAGCTCTGGACCTTATAGCTTTGATAATGTAGGTGTTTTATATGTGAGACGTAATTATGAGTGGCTGTTGAATGCTTTGGGCACTGAGCCTATAAATTACAAATCACAAAGAGAAGAGCCTCTATAAATATATCCACCTAAACTCTCTCTCTCTGAGTAGATAGAGATTATCACAAATGCTAGTTGGGATGTGGCTCATCACTGAAATCATGAGGACCATGCACAAGTACTTTCTCCTCCACCTCATATGTAATTGGAAAGAGAATTTCTGCTTGAAAGCCCATCCTTACCCATAATGTTGGCCTATTAACATTAACTACCCTGTGGGACCCTGTAAGAGCCTCGGAGCCTAAACCCTAAAGGTTTCTTGCTGTTGAGACATTATCTAGCATGAGTCTTTATCTCAGGGCTTTTGTAAAGCATCACATTTCAAATAACTAACAATGAACTATATTCTCCCATTGGGACTGGAGAGCATGACTGATAGTGACTAAGAGCATATTCTGCAACCTACTAACTGTGATTTTTTTATTTTAAAAGTTTGTTAGAGTTTCAAATGAGACTTGTCAATCAGTAGCTTTCAGATGCCTAAGATGTGACTAAGGTGTTAGGTATGATAGCATATAATTAGTATGAGTTAACAAAAGCTGTCATGCTGTATTTTCCAATTTGCAGTGTTATGCAGTTTACTAAACAAGTAAATCTGTGCTGCTGGATGTAGAGGTTATTTCTGGTCTAACTTATTTATTTTTTGTTTTTAAATAGATTACTTTCAAGTTTTTGCTCATTTCTAACCTAGCATTTGAATTTGAAGTAAAAGCAAAGGGCAGGAGTTGAAATTGATTTAATGGGGTCAACTATTTAGATTAAGCTAAAGTAAACACTGCAAGTAGGCTGTAAACCATTCCTCCCTTGTAATAGGGAAGTACAGTAATGAAGATAAAAGAGAATGGAAAATTTCTGCTATGGAAAATTTTGTGTACTGCATCTTCAAATTTACACTTAAGGAAGATTTCTTTATACAGGAAGTCAGCGTTGTAAAAGTCATCTCATAAAGCAACCATGTAAAAGATTTGTCTTTTAAAACTGGCATGATCTAGCTGTAGTTACAGTCAGTGAAAAGGCACCCATGCATTTCAGGGCTAGCTGGATTACAGCACTGAAAAAAAATCCCAACACCAAACTACATATACATTTAGAGTAAACAGAGAATAAGAGTAAGCTTTTCTATATAATTGTTTATAACTCATTTTTACCTTTTGGGTCAAAATATTGGGATCTGGCTTGTATTCATTTTGACTGCAGGTAGGTGGATACTAGAAAATGTTTCTTGGAGTAATCATTATGTATTACTTTGACAACCGTCATTATCTACCCTTTGTGTATATTACCAAAAGGAGTTTTCAAGAATGACTGGAAATTTTAAGTAAACATTGAAAACCTTTCAGAGTAGGCTAATAAGTATTAAAACATTTTGCAATAAAAACCTAAAATCAATTCCAGAACTGAAAAGTATAGCTGATCACATTCTGGTATCTACAGAGTGACGCAATGTTTATGCCTGCCATGAATATAACTGTACACACTCTTTTCCTAATCCACAGCAGTCTCTATTTCAAGAAAGACTCGCCATACATTTTTTAGTAAAGCTGTCAATATATGCCCAATGTGACTCTTGGGTCCATCACAGATAACACACCAGTATTTCTAGTTTCAGCTGCTCTCCTCAAACCAGCTCAGTCTCTGGGACAAACTTTTAGGAGATAGTTTTTCAGGAAAATTAGGAAGTATCCTCTTGAAGGTCTTGGAGCAATGGAATGACATTATAATACATATTAAGGGACCTGGTTACTCTGCAAATGGATTTGAGACCAGTGTCGAAAACCTCAGTTTAAGGAGCCACTGTAACAGCATGTGAAAGGGAAATAAATCATTTTGTTAAATTCTTTCATTCTATTTTCAATGTTCCTCATAGGCTTACACTCCAATTGGCACATTGCAGCAATGTCTTGTCTGGTATTTGTTAGAACGGGAAAAAGTTGCTTATGAAGAGAAAAATACCTTAAAACTATAAATGCTGTAATGAACATCATGTGACATGTTAGAATTGATTATATATAATCTTCCATTTGGTTGTCTTAAAATACCATATATTACTGAAGTGCAACACAAGTATGTCTTTGGGAGAAGGGAAAATAAAATATGTAAATTTTTATATTACAAGTTCAGAGGAATTTTTAACATATAATTTCAATATGTTTAGTTAGATCTATAGCTGGTCCCAATTTTTGAATACTGCTTGAAATTACTGAAAACATGAAGGGTGGTTTACAAAGAATTTTTGCTGCCTTCCATTTTTTCCATTAAGATACTTTTCTACATATTTTAATAAAAATGTTAGTGGTAATTTTTGTTTGCCAAGAACTACCTTTATGTTTTGAAGAGTTGTAGTATTGATATTTTTAAGAGTTGTGTTATTTAGAAAAAAAAATTAATTGGAAAAATTTCAGAGGTGAAATTGCATCCTCCTAAAAATTAATTGGAGAAAACATGGAATATTCATTTAGATTTTTCCATTCACTTTTACCAATCAGCCTTTATTAAAATAGCTCATTGGTGACACAAGTACCCTGGTCATTTTTTACTCAATAGGGTCTTCACCTAGAAACCCTAATTTGCAGAGTACATTTTGACCTCAAAGTAGCAAATTTTTGAAATATGAAGATTTTTATCTTAGTACAAGTGAAGTGCTAAAACATTTCTTGCAAATGTCTAGATGTAGAAAGGCTGTGTTCCTGATGCGTAGAATCACAAGCAGCTTCAAATAACACTGCAATAGCCACAAGGGGGATGCTGGTTTACATCAGAAATCTTAAAGGCTTTTCTGAGGAAAACCTTGTTTCTCAGGGCAAATTTTTAACAACTTTGTAAAATCCCTATAAAAATATTTTAATTGCAGTCTTGCTATTGCTGATTGAATAGGATTCTTCTTCCTTGCTGCTTTTTTCCGCTAGAGAAACATATGGGATCTTACTCAGTTCTTCTTCATGCTTCTCTGGAGAGGGCTCACCATGGCATAAAATATCTGCATGTGGATAATGCATGCAGAAATATATTTTTGGCTAAATGGAAGCTTTAAAAATATGAGTTTGGGTACATTTTGATTCATCCAGCACATGATACTCCTTTTGTGCTAAAGGAACATTATTAGGCTGTGAGTGTTCTTCCTTAAAGACAAACCAGGCAGTGGGTTCAATTAAATGTCTACCAGGAAAAAAAATCTTTTGGTTTGGTTTAATGCCACTTCACTTTATCAGTTGCATTTAAAAGAAGGTGAAAGGGCAACATTTGGAGGATTAGATTTGGGAAACGGCGTATGAGTTGCAGGAGAAGCAGAGAGTGGAACATGTGGAGAGGACATAATTTGTCATTTATGATGAAAGATTTATAGGCTTGTGTCTCCCACATAAACACAGAAGCACATGCATATGGATTGCTCCATGTTTCTAAAGCAAAGCTGTTGAAATCTGTCTTGATGGACATCAGTAATCTGAAACAAAGTACATGGGTACATCGTATTCAACCACAGGCCCAAGAGTTGCAAACAACAGTACCCATGCAAAAGGATATCCACATTTACGCACACATTTGTTCTGATGGTTTGTGGAATTTGGGTAAAAAAGTATCCACAATTCACCTAACTAGTATTTTTTGTACATTTTAGGTGAAACTTGCTTGTTTCTCTATGTCCACAGGCATAGGCTGTTCTGAAATTATCAATACTGGGGATATGCCGGAATAGGAAGTAGGAAAAGAATTCTAAAAAGGATGAGGAAAAGGTTGATGTTGATCAGTTTCTTAATGTAATTTAAAGCTAGGGACATTTTATTAAGAATGCACATTTGATGTTACTAATTCTTCTGCTATTGATGTCAGTCTAAGAACTAGTGATATCACATAAATAAAAGAGACCTGGAAGCTATCATAACTTTGAAAATATGTTAACATATTGGATGGATTAATCATAACATTTTGGTGGATAGAGGGACATCCAGAGAGGAATGATTC